AGCTTCGTTGAGGATGTTCTTCGCCTGAGCGCCCGCGCCGATCCTCAGGCTACAGAGGAGAAGAAGCTGCGACACCTGATGAGGGGTGTCAAAAGCGAGATATTCGGAGGTCTCATTCGCAATCCTCCGACAACTGTCGACGGGTTCGTCACGGAGGCGACGAATATGGAGCGTGCGCTACTAGCACGCGCCAGACACTACGAGCGGCACCCTGGCGTGACTACTCTGGCGACATCCGGATACGACCTTGGTACCGACCTCCCAGGCATCCGTGACATCATCCGTGAAGTCGTCCGGGAAGAAATCCGCAAGATGCTCCCCGCTACGGATCGCTCGTCCTCCCTGTCGCTCGCCGAGGTCGTCCGAGAGGAAGCCCACCGAGCCTTCCAACCTGAGATTCCGATCAAAACGACGACGCCAGAGGAGCCTACTTTGAGCTACGCCGCCATGGCCCGAAGATCGCCGCAAGCTAACCGCCAGACCACGGCGCCACCCCGACGAGACCCTCCGATGCCACAGTATCCTCGACGCCAGGAAGGACAAGTCCACGGCGTTCGCCCGGAGCAACCCTCGTCGAGGAAGACCGACGTGTGGCGAACGGCCGACCGACGCCCGCTCTGCTACCACTGCGGGGAAGCCGACCATGTGTACCGCCGATGCCCATACCGACGACTCGGGCTGCGCGGATTCCACCCAAACGACCCGCGCCCCCGGTGTGGTGAACGCCCTCGGGAGATCGACGAGTACCTGCGACGACCCCAGTCCCCCGAGCCTGCGTCCCGCCGAGAGTTCCGGTCGCCATCGCCACGACGTCCAGCTTCGCCGATGCACCGACCCCGACGTGAAAGCCTGTCGCCCCTCGCTCCTCGCCGGGGAAACTAGGCGCGGCAACCCCTGGAGGTGGAGTTGCCGAAGACGACCGACGTAAAGAGCCTCCAAGAACGCCGGAGCGCTCCCACTCTCCCGACGCCACGCATCGCTACGACGCCCCTGCAACGGTGTCCAACAACCTAAACGTCGTCATCGACGGTCATGACGCATCGGCACTCGTGGACACCGGAGCAGACTACTCAGTCTTGAGTGGGAGGCTCTCCCGCCGCCTTCGAAAAGTCATGACGCCGTGGGAAGGACCCCAAATACGAACCGCCGGAGGACATCTCATCACACCAGTCGGGAGATGCACTGCTCGCGTCGAGATCCACGGTGAAACGTGCCCTGTCAAGTTCGTCGTTCTGCAAGACTGTTCGACGGACGTTATCCTCGGAATGGACTTTCTCTGCGAGTATGGCGCCGTCATCGACCTCGGAACAAACCGGCTGACGCTACGAAAACCTGCTCCACCAGCAGAGGAACCCGAAGCGACGTCACCCACGGTCCGAGTCCTCGCAAACCACGTAAACCTACCACCGCGGTCGAGTGTTTTCGTACTTGTCGGGATCAATGAAGCTTCCTGTGGCGAAGTTCTTCTCGAGGGAAGCCTCCAATTGCTCCTGGGAAGAGGCATAGGCGTCGCAAGGGGAGTAGCTGAACTTCAGGATGGGCGGACTGTGGCCCTCGTGACGAACTTCCGAAACGAAACGCAACACCTCACGAAAGGTGCAGCCGTGGGCCACGTCGAGAAACTCCGAAACCCCGCCGAAATCACTGCGATCACTGACGAATCCTCGCCGCCCCAGCAAGACAGTACGTCGCCAGCGCAGCTCGACATTGACCCTAAGCTTCCGGATCCTGAACGGCGTCAGCTGGTTAACCTCCTCGCCGAATACCGCGACTGCTTTGCGACGTCGTCGAAGGTGCGCCAGACCGCGGTTGCCAAGCACCGCATCGTTACTGAGGACGACGCGCGCCCTGTGCATCGATCGCCGTACAGAGTCTCCGCTAAGGAAAGGGAGGTGATCCATCAGCAAGTTCAAGAGATGCTGAATGACGACATAATCCAACCTTCAAGCAGTCCATGGGCCTCTCCAGTCGTGCTGGTTAAGAAGAAGGACGGAACTCTTCGGTTCTGCGTGGACTACCGGCAGCTCAACACGGTTACGAAGAAAGACGTCTACCCACTCCCCCGCATCGACGACACTCTAGACCGGCTGCGCCACTCTCGATACTTTTCATCGATGGACCTGAAGAGCGGCTACTGGCAAATCGAGGTCGACGAACGGGACCGAGAGAAGACAGCCTTCGTCACGCCGGATGGACTGTACGAGTTCAAGGTGATGCCCTTCGGACTATGCACAGCGCCAGCAACTTTCCAGCGTGTCATGGACACCGTACTGGCAGGGCTGAAGTGGCAGAGTTGTCTCGTCTACCTCGACGACGTCGTAGTATTTTCAGCTGACTTCGACGAGCACTTGAGACGACTCCGAGCTGTTCTTCAAGCCATTCAGACCGCCGGACTCACACTCAAGCCGTCAAAGTGCCGGTTCGCCTATGACGAACTGAAGTTCCTTGGCCACGTGGTTAGTAACGAAGGCGTCCGCCCAGACCCCGAGAAGACTCGCGCCGTCGCGGCATTTCCAGCGCCGACAGATAAGAAGGCCGTGCGAAGATTCCTTGGACTTTGTGCCTATTATCGACACTTCGTTCGGGATTTCGCAAGGATTTCCGCACCACTTACGAATCTCACGAAGGACGCCAAGAAGTTCGAATGGGCCGAGGAGCAACAGCAGGCATTCGACGAACTGAAACGACGACTCCAGACTCCTCCTGTGCTTGGACATTTCGACCAGGATGCGGAAACAGAAATTCACACGGACGCAAGTAACGCGGGACTGGGCGCAGTACTAGTCCAAGTGCAAGAAGGCATCGAGCGAGTCATCGCCTACGCAAGTCGGACATTGTCCAAGGCGGAGAAAAATTACTCCACAACTGAGAAAGAATGCCTTGCGGTCGTCTGGGCAATAACGAAGTTTCGTCCGTACTTGTACGGCAGCCCGTTCCGTGTAGTCACGGACCACCACTCGCTCTGCTGGCTTGCGAAGCTGAAGGACCCGTCAGGACGCCTCGCTCGATGGAGTCTTCGACTACAAGAGTTCAACATGACAGTGGTCTATAAGTCAGGCCGCAAGCACAGCGACGCCGACTGCCTGTCCAGAGCCCCCGTCGAAACCCCTTCCGGCTGCAGCGACGACAATGACGACGAGTGCTTTCTAGGAGCAGTGAACACCGACGATATGGCACGACGTCAACGGGACGATCCTGAGCTGCGCGCATTAATCGAGCACCTGGAAGGGGGCAGGAGTACCGTGCCACGTGTCTTCTCACGAGTACTGCCGACCTTCGCCATCCGACAAGGTGTACTCTACAAAGAGAACTTCGGCAACAACAACACACCTTCGTTGCTGGTAATCCCGAGTGACCTTCGAGAGGAGATCTTCCAAGCCTGCCACGACGACCCGACATCCGGACACCTTGGTTACAGCCGGACACTGGCCCGTATTCGTGAAAAGTATTACTGGCCGAAGCTCCCCAAGACCGTCCACCTATACACACGATCATGCCACGAGTGCCAGCGACGCAAGAAACCGCCGACGAGGCCGGCCGGACTTCTGCAGCCTATTTCTCCTCCAACTACACCCTTCCAGCAGATCGGAATGGATCTACTTGGTCCTTTTCCGCCTTCGACGTCGGGGAACCGCTGGATCATCGTCGCCACAGATTATCTCACGCGGTACGCCGAAACGAAAGCTCTTCCTTCAGGGACTGCTGTGGAAGTCGCCAAGTTTTTCATCGAGTCCATCGTCCTCCGGCACGGCGCTCCCGAGGTTCTGATTACAGATCGCGGATCTTCGTTCATGGCCCAGCTGACGCAAGAGATCCTTCGTCTCAGTGGCACCGGCCATCGTCGAACCACTGCATACCACCCGCAGACCAACGGACTGACCGAGCGACTCAACAAGACAATCGCCGATATGATCTCTATGTACGTCAACGTAGAGCACAAGACGTGGGACGAGGTGCTGCCCTACGTCACGTTCGCCTACAATACGGCGGTTCAAGAGACCACTGGATTCACCCCTTTCCAGCTGGTACATGGTCGGAAGGTAACGACCATGCTGGACGCCATGCTGCCCCATGAGCCATCTGACAACGAGAGCGACGACGCCCAGGCGGTTGCTCAACGCGCCGAAGAAGTTTGCCAGCTCGCCCGACTCCTGATTCAAGACCAGCAACGCGTCGACGCCGGCCGCTACAACCTTCGTCGCAGGGACGTCCACTTCCAGCCCGGAGATAGGGTGTGGGTATGGACGCCCATCCGTCGCCGCGGCCTCAGTGAGAAACTGCTGAAACGGTACTTTGGACCATACAAGGTACTTCGTCGCCTCGGCGAGCTGAACTACGAGGTGATGCCCGACGGAACACGAACATCGTCACGCCGCCCACCACGACCTGAGGTCGTCCACGTCGTGCGGCTGAAGCCGTACTACGCTCGATAGGACTGTGGACCTTTTGTGCTCCAAAAGACTCTTTAGTTTATCGTTCTTTTTTATTTTGATTTGTTTTACACTGCATCGGGGCGATGCACTTTTAAAGGGGGGAGTAATGCCGCGCGCAAGGCTGAGAAAGCAACGCTCGGTCACGGTCCTCCAGAAAGTTCCCGTTTATTCATGTACCGCACGTAACTTCTATCATTTATCCCTGCTTTTGTTTTCTAGAAAGTGCGTGTTCATTCTCGCCCCGATCACGCGACGCTCGAACCGCTTTCGCCGAATCTTCGAGATAGCGGCGCACTCTAGATAAGAGGCCGCCCGCGACCTTGTCGAGTCAGTCTCGCCCTAGCGCTCGATTCTGCTGACACGCCGACTTCGACGCCCGCGACGCTCTGCTTTCTTCCGTTTCCCTCTTTATTTTTTTGGCACAAGTTCGCCACATTAAACGTTTATTTCTTTCTGTTTATTTCCTGTTTTTGGTTTGGTCACCACCCGTGACAATACTACGACTAGCCTTGCCAAGCCACCGCCATTGTTTTATGCTTAATAAAGAGGTGGAAACAATGAACTTACCAGGACTTGAAGACTGATTCAGCTCCATTCAAATTGTTGGATGGGGTCAGACTCCAAGGACACCTGCCACCGCCGTCTCATTGAAGCCAAGCCGTTTTCCACGGGGCTCCCATAACTGTAATTGTGTTGCATTCATTTTTAGAGAGTGGGAGGTTAGTGAGCTCTCCACTGGTATACGAGAAATTCTGCCAGTGCAGTACGACCGCTAGCCTGGGGTCCTTAAAGACCGACGACCAGTTCGTGCTTTCCACCTTTTCTTTGCTTCCTCCTCTCTCCCCTTCTAGCCTGTCCACAGTTGCCCGTTTCCTCCTCCCTTATGGCGAGGAGGATCCTCTGCCTTGCAGAATCTCGAGCGTGGTCGTCGGCCTTTAAAGGGACACTGACAACATATTTATGCTCGCCAAGGTTTTTATTTGTACTTGACATATAAGAGCCCAACTACCCAGAACACAATTTGTGGCTATTATAAGCAAGTAGCTTACAATGGAGTGACATATACTTTGATAGTCGAGTGGCCAATATTTTTTCGAGACCTAATCGTTGCAGCTACACTCTGCATCAACTATTTTGTGCTGCATCGTGGAACCTAGTGTAGCTTCCACAGTGCAGCAGCCATGCACTGCTGCGAGAGCATGTGGCTTTTCCTTGCACGTGCAACCGGCTCTGAAAGAAATGGAATGCTGCAGAAGCTACACTAGCTTCAGCAACGTAGTCCAAAAGATTCGACGCCAGGTACAGTAGTAGACCTATTGGTAAATTACCCACGCATCAACAAGAATGCTGAAAATGAAGGTCAAAGCGCCACACGCACTTGCCTTCCCACATAAAAGATTTCAAGTAGGTAACAAAAGGAGACATTCACAAATGCACGTGCAAGATGGCACATTTGTCTTTAGGTTTTTACTCTAAAACGCCAACTGCTGCAGACTTATGAAATGCAGCATGTTACACTTGTAGCATGTTCCTTGGTGCTTGGATAATTTAGCGAAAGGTCTATGGTGGCAGTATATGGTCCAGTGTCGGGGAGCAAAGGTAATGGATCAAACCGGTTCCTACCAATTCGAATCGCTAAATCGAGAATTTGTTTTCTGCGTAGTCTTTGCACAAGGCACTACTTTCACCATGAAAGGAGTAACTATAGATGCTTTCAGGCAACTTTTTGAATGGGCGCTGCCATCTTGGTATCACATGGACCGTCCGCCATTGTCGGCCTCTACTTTTTCCGTTGCTGCACTACGTATAGCACCGCGAACTGCGCTTCGACAGACACACCCAAGGTGTTATACATAATGAAATCGGATTGTGAATGGGTCGAGAACATGAGGTTATGGCCTAAACTTCAGAGACCATGGAAGTTCATGACATTTTTTATGTGTTTGCCCAAAGTAAAGGCAGTTAAAACCCAATGCGACAACCGCAAATGTCGAGATAACACAGCAAGGCTATCGCAGTCGTATCTATTGCTGCATGTACATACTTTACTCATTGCGGTCTTGTTCCTCGCTGCATTTAGGAACTTTAACCACGTAGGCGATTTAACGAGCAAAAAACTTGGCGATCAGCGACGGGCTGGGCCATCGCTCAGGCGGATTGCTTGCTGTTGCTCTCACACCGCTTGGTTGTAGTAGACTTCTAGTAAACTTCACTCGTCACCCGGGAGTTGCTCACACGCGGTCTTTGACACTGCGACCTCGTTGCTCATCAGAAAAATATTGCGTTCAATGTTGGGTGCATCGGAATTAGTTACAGCATCTCTGCGTTGGATAGAAAGGATTGAAGGAGCTGTGTGAGCAGGTCAGAGCTGTGGAGACCCGGAGGTAGGCAAGAAGGGCAGCTGACAAGCTGGCACTCCAGACCTACATCGGCCACAAAAAGGAGATCTGTAAGGAACAGTTTTTTGATAACACACTGGGGAGCAGCCTGCTCTTCAAGGCTCGCTCCGGAAAGTTGAGAACGAAGTGGTGGCAGGTGAAATGTGGAAGAGTCGAGGCGAGCATGATGTGCGCCATCTGTGAAGAAGAGGAGGAGACTATGGAACACCTGGTGCTGAGGTGCAGGATGCTGCGGCAGCTCCAAACAAGTGAAGTGACACTGGAACAGGCTCTTGGTTTCGTTGGCCTACCGCAAGAGGGAGACATGGGAGCCAGCGATGCAGGGGGCGCGGCTGGTGCGGTAGCAGGGGGAAACGGTGCGAACGTGATCGAGACAACAAAGCGGCGACTGGAGAATTGGAGGAGGAAATCCTGCGGGGGAGCGGGAGTTTTTCATTCCTAAGGACAATATATGGCTAGGACACATACGAAGATAATCCGTACTGTAGTTTCCGCCGTCCAGTTAAGAAGGGAATGGCCAACAGATCCAGGGGGGCTATGTTGCGCTTTTTGCACTCCCAGGAGACTAGGGAGAGGGAAGTGACGTCAACAACGCAGCACGTGCAGATTGGATGTTGATTTTGTTTTCTTCTGTCAACATCCAATCTGCATTTGCTCTAGTCGGTGACTTCACTTCCCTCTTCCAAGTCTCCTGGGAGTGCAAAAAGCGCAACGTAGCACCCCAGATCCAGATAGTCTTGCGAGAACGAATCGCTGATTTGCGAGCGCGGCCCGAGAAAAAGTGCTGCCAGTCCCGTCATAAAGATGCTCTGCTCGGATTATTCAGTGTGAATCGGTGCATCGAAAACGGCACCGAGCACGGACAGTCCATGTGCTTCGGCGTGACATATTCAATGCACAGAGCGGGGTTCCAACCTCAATGTCGCCACTGCAGTTTTTGTAACCCACTACTGAGCACAGAGCTGCTCCCGTCCCTAGCGACGCCTCTGGATCATCAAAAACAAGACGGAACAACGAAAGCACAGACATAGAGATCTTTACAGAGACACCGCAGCAACAGCGCTGGTTTACCTTGCCAAGAAAGGTTCCCGTTTGTTGAGAATCGACCTCACCTCCAAAAAAGCTTGCTGTACGGCTGTATGGCGGGTACAACTGTCCTGCCAAAAGAGTCGGAAAACGATGAACTGCTGAACTGCCACCCCGCCACCGTCGTCGCAAGTAGAATAGTTTGCCGATAGGCGCGCCACTGAAACAGGGTAGGCTAAGGGTGGGTTGGTCGGTTGGCTAGATGGTTAAATGCGTGCCATGCATCCATTCATCCGGTGTTTGCGCCGTTTGCGCTCGCTCCCCGTTCAAACAAAATAGTAACTGCTTTTTTATTCACTGTGTCTGATACGTAGTGACGAGGGGAAAGGGGTACTTACTGCGTCACGCATGACCGCTCATTCACACTGGAAGCGGATCCGCGTTCGCAAAGCGGTTGCGGACGCGGTTGTATAAAGATCCAGTACAATTTCAAGCGCACTTGATGTCATCGAGTGCGCGTGCAATTGTACTGGATCTTTATACAACTGCGTTCGCAACCGCTTTGCGAACGCGGATCCCGCTCATTCACACAGCGATCCACGACGACGTGCGCAATGGCGGTGCGGAGACGATAGCAGGCTCATGATGCACAGCCCGGGAAAACCGAAACCGGAACTACTCTTTGACAGTTCCCTCGTGGCCCGAACTTTTTCACGCGCTGGCGGCGCTCGGTCAATGGGAGAAGCGGACAGAGCGGACAGAGCCATAGAAGGCTTACGCTGGGAACCTCCTGGATTCGATCCCCACCGCCCCCGCCCGTTTCGATCTGGATGAGCTTCGCGTCGGCACGCGTTTTCGTGTAATCACTACTGCGATATGCATGTTAAAAAAAAAAAAAAAAAAAAAAAGTTAGCGGTTGCCCGGCGGCTTTTGCTCTGCGCGTGGAATAAACGCAGTGGCTGCTACGTCACGCGCAAAGCGAGCGTGGCGTCGGGCGGCACTCGCCAGTTATTCGCCACATAATTCGTTCCATGGAGTGGCTGAAGAGAGCCAGAGCATGCCAATTTTGGCATGAGATCTCTTCAGTGGCGGATCCAAGGGGGACTTTGTCATCCCCCAAGTGCATCCGTCGGTGCACTTGGGGGATGACGGAGTCCTTTTTATCAAGGAGAATGGCAGGCACATGAGAGGGTAATGACGTGATAGAAATCTTGTCGGTTGGGTTGTATTTTCGTTTCTTGATTGGTTCTTTCCTATGCTCTGTGTTTATTTTTCTGGTTCGCCTGAAAAATTAAACTTTAGTTGATAGTCAGCGCTTTGTCCGTGCACTTCTTTCACTCGTCCCTTGTCAAACTTTTTGCGCTGTTTTAACGTTTGAACCACTCGTATGCGCATGCGCGACAGGCTGGCCAGTTGGCTTCGGATTGGATGGTGATGGCTAAAGGAGGAATTAAGGGCAGCACTGATTGGTTATTTCAGTTAATACAGTACAAAAAATTAATTTATTAACTTCTTTAGTGACCAAGAATTAGTTATTTATTTGCAACTGTTCATAAAATTAAAATGACCCTTTGCCTAAAAAACAATTCTCTAAACCTAGACATGCTTGCATCAAGGTCTGGCCACACTGTCCACAAAGTCGAACCCACTGATCTCTATGTCTATTTGCTGGATCGCGTTTGACCAGCTCCTCCTATGGAGCGGAATGCGGTCACTGGCGGCCATCTTTAGGTAGAGTTATATCATCTCTAGCCATCATAGTAATATGGCGGACAGCACAATGGCGGCAGGCTGCCATAAAAATAGCCATAGATCTAGTACACTGTACCGTGGGTGACATTTCGTGCTTGATTGAAGTTGTTCGACGAAGCAGATTCTTGAAACCCGGCGTGAACGGTAGCCTCATCTTTGAGGACCCAACAAAAGTTCTACGAAAGCGCAGCACCGGGGGAAAGCAGCGCAGCTCGCATCAAAAGCAGACTCCGTACCGTCGTCTGCTTTCGATGCTTCTTTCGATGCGACTTTCGATACGTGCTGTGCTGCTTTTCTTCCGGTGCTGCGATTTCGTGAAACTTTTACCAGGTCCTCAAAAACCGGACTGCTGTTCACGCCGGGTTTCAAAAACATGTTTCGTCAAATAATTTTAATCAAGCACACAATATCACCCACGCTATTTTGATCGCAGCTTGCCAACCCACCTGCCAAAACGCTATCTGCCATGGATGGATGATAGCGGCTGCAGCAGCTTACATTGGCTAGAGGTGATATAACTCTACCTAAAGATGGCCGCCAGTGACCGCATTCGCGGAGCGGGCAAACGCGATCCAGCAATTGTCATAGAGATCAGTGGTCGAACCTGTCGAATCTAGATAAAAGTTCGAAGGTTTGTCGAACCGGTTCAACAAGTAGGACCTCAGAAGTTTGACCTAAAAATCTGGCTCGACAAAAGTTTGCGACACCCCTAGCCTTCACATGCTCTGGCGGCGAGAGGAGGCGGGTGAGAAGAGAGGCGTCGCCAAGCAGACCACACCACCAGGGGTGGTTTATGGCGCGGCTGTCAATCTGTCTAATGTGAATGAGGAGAGCGTCCTGTATATGAACAACCAACTTGGGCGAGTTGGTTGTTCATATCACACACACTACAACAAGCAAAAGTGCAGTCACTCCTGACACACGAGTGCCCTGTTTTTTATTAGTAAAGCATTTATATTTAGTATGCATCTGTTTGAACAGCACGTGATCACAGAAAGAGAGTGAGCACGCCTGAAACCGCCCAATTCTCAATCAGTGCTCTTTGGGCCGAAAGAATACGAATTTCGAGCAGCAAATTGTGTTCTGGGAAGTTGGGCTCTCATAGGTCATCTTCAAGTAAAAATGTGTTCGCATTAAAACCTCGGCGAGCCTAAATAACTTCAGTTGACAGAAAGAATAAAAACACTGAAAACATACGGACAGAAACTCACAGTTCTTTCAACGCGCGACGGCATTTATATGATGCCCATCACACTGCAAAGAACCATTTTGGTCACAGAGAAAATTAATAAATGTTGTTGCTCGATGAAAGAACTGCCATCGAGTGTCTGCCCTTCGTATCTTTTCACTGTTTTTATTTCTGTGTGAACGGTAGCCTATCCAACGCGCTCTGCTACGTGTACCTAGATAACTTGTCAGTGTCCCTTTAAATGGGCCCTTGTTTAAGAGTCTACCTTTTTGTTGCTTCCATATTTTTGTGGTTCGGGCAAACCAGCGGGCACAGAGAGAGTATCTAAATATCAGTGCGTCATCATTTAACACAACGACGCAGAAGCCTCCTCTTCCTACGAGGAGGAGGCGGAGGTTGCATGCCACGCACGCTCGGCACCCCGTGGTGCCGAGCATGCGTCGCATGCGACGAATTCGTGATGTTGTCGGTCCCGGTCAGCACCTGCCTTACGACTGGTCAGAGCTGCTAAAAGCATTTTTTAGTCGAAATACAAAATATAAGTGGCGCGAACCGTTTCAGTTATTTATGAAAGTCGTTTTTGTTCAGTATTTTAGATGAGAAAAGAAACAAATGCAGTTTAGAAGGTATGGAAACAAGAAACGACGTGCAATGACCCGTCGAAATACCCGCCACCAAATGATGGAAAAGGCGGCGCAGGTGCCCCTGCGGATCCTAGCAGACAAGGCACGACGCCGGCGGCACATTTCCTAAGAAGCGAAAGAATGAATTCGTGTTCTGTGACCTTGCGGCACAGGAGACCCACCGGGAACTTGCCCGGAACTTGAGCGTCGTCGAGTTGGGGTCGAGAGACTTCGCCAGCGCGTTCCAGACGCTTACGTGGAGTGTTGTCGTACGGTACTATTTCCAGCTTCGCACTTCTATCGAGGCTTCGGAGCTCCAACTCCGACAAACCCGGCAAATTCATGCCGGCAAGCGCGGTGGAGGGCTGAAGCAGGCAACAAGCCATTGAAGCTTACGTGGCTGCGGGGGAAGCGAACATCAACATAAGCCGCAGCCGATTGGACAGTCGCTTCGCTTCTATTATGGGCCACCCAAGCCGGGACCAGGGACGTCATGAAGGAGGTTATTTTTTGCTTGTTTTAGTTTGCCTATAACTTTTGAAAAAGAGTTTCGGGAAAAGTTTCACTAAGTTACTACGTTCAGTGCACTCAGGTTTGGTGCCAATTAAAAACCAGTCGAAAAGTCGTTGCAGGGCCCCTTTAAAGGGATGCTGAACCGAAATCTGGATTCCCCAAAACACACGGCAAAAGCGGGCAACGGGATGCTACTAACACCAAAAAATCACTCATACAGCAATATCTCGAACGGATGACCGTATTTTTCAAAAAAAGAGGTGCATTTGGCAGGAATGTTGACGTCATGTTTCTCTGAGAAGGAGAGGGAACGGCCTCGCGTCTTCTTCACCTCGCGGCCTTGAGGGAGCGAAGCGAAGAGAGGAGGAAACTGAGTATCTTGACGTCATGCGCCTCGTCGGCCTGGTTCAATCTCGACTTCTTTTTTCAAAAATACGACCGTCCATTTGAGATATCGCCTTACTAGTAGTGTTGTAGGGATTGTAGCGGCCCACCTACATCTCCAGCATTGTCTTTTTGACATCCAAATTTCGGTTCACCATCCCTTTAAAGGGATACTGAAACAAAATTTCGGTCACAAAACAAAGCTGAATGGGTAGGCGGGACGCTGCAAAACCCAAAAACATCACTCATACAGCGATATCTCTAACGAATCGCCGTATTTGTGGAAAAGAAGTGCGGTGACTGAACACGGCCAACGAGACAAATCACGTCACGATTCTTGTTCCCTCTGCTCCTTGCTACGTACTGTCAAGCTGGTAAACTGAAGTGAGGAGGAGAGAAGCGAGGCCACTTTCCCTCATTCTCAAACTTTACAGGAGTATGACGTCATACCTCTCGCTTGATCGCGCTCTTCTTTTCCAAAAGTACAGCCATCCATTTTGAGATATTGATGTACGAGTGATGTTTTGGAGTTCATAGTATCCCATACAACACTTCTGAGCCCTTATTTTGCGAAATCTATATTTCGGTTCAGTAGCCCTTTAAGCTAAAAACAAAAACAAAAAACAGAGACACTGCAACTTCTACGACGATATCCAATCTATAAATTTTGGTAAAGAGAGCCAGGAGCTACAACTACAGCCCTGAGGAACAAGTCCCTGGTGCAACAAAATATTGGCATCATGCAATGCTAGATTGTGATGCTGGAAAGCAAGCAACTGTCGTTTAACAATATGCAATTACGAAGATGCCCGTGCTGAGGGCTATCAGCCCAGTAAAATCGGTTCGAAGTTCCTCTAGTCTCCCATGTCTCTTTTTCATACCTTTTAAGAATGCAGCGCGACGCCTTCACATCCACTGAACAGCACAAATGCATGTGAAGTGTGTGAAGTGCACTTGGATGTCACCTCCTACGTAAACCTGCTGGAGGGCAAGAATTGGGTTACGGTCAGAACCAATATCAGAAGCCGCCAATTTATCTTGCGTGCCGCGCTACGGACCTCTACTTGGTAGTCGATTTCTTGGCGACAAAACTGCTACAGTGAGATCCAAGCATTGTGCAGGATGGCAAGGTGGGAACTTTCTAAAGAGCTACTTTGTCTGAGGCACATTTACTTCAGCTAAGACATGCAATGGAAGATAAAAAAAGACAACAACACTGTGGGAGCTTGACTGTCAGCCTTTATTTCTGAGGTACAGTGAAGCAGAAGTCTGATTACATATGTATCATTCGGAGATTTCATTTAAGAGAAACAACATAAAAGTAAGAAGAAAAATATCACCATGATAAAAAGATCCTTGCAAATTAATTATGCAATGCAAAAATAAACACGCATTGGGCAACAATTCATTCAAAGGATCTTGTAAACAAAGCAAATTCATGGCCGATATAGTATTCATTGAGACTTAGCTTCACCGACCCTTTTCGTGCTTTTAAAAAAAAGTGTAAGAATGTTAGCCATCACAGAAGCAGAAAAATAAACTATCCTGTGTTACACAAACAAAACCTAAAGGACTTTTACAGCAAACAACGACACCTAAGGTTTGAAAATTCTGATGCAGACAGCCAGGCAACATGGAAACAACTGCCAGGAAAATTAACACTGAGCAAGAAAATATTGGAACCACCTAACGCAAGGAAAAGTGGAAAAGTGATACCTCAAAGCAGGTCTCATATAAATACATGATTGCAAAGATGTCAGTGCAAAAAAGGAAGGCGAAAGTACTTCGATTATGAGCGTGTTAGTCAGTTCCAAATTTTCCACAACTTGAGTCATTGCAGTCCCGAAGGGGAATTACACTGTATTCAAAATGCGTACAGTGCCACTTTATAACAAAACCTGCTGGGCAGTGCAAGGGATCCAACTACCGACGTCCCAACCGGTAGCAGAATGTGTTGTGATGCACACACATACCCTTAAAAACTGTTTTCAATAATGGTGGGTCAGACTGGTATTATGAGAAAAGGCTCGGGGCACTGCTTGCACTTAAATGACTTTTCACCTGTGTGTGTTCGATTATGGCGTTGCAGATGGGAATTTTGAGCGAAGGCTTGGGGGCACTGCTTGCACTTAAATGGTTTTTCACCAGAGTGCGTTCGATGATGGTTTTGTAGATAGGAATTTTGAGCAAAGGCTTGGGGGCACTGCTTGCACTTAAATGGCTTTTCATCAGTGTGTGTTCGATTATGCTTTTTCAGATAGTAATTTTGAGCAAAGGCCTTAGGGCACTGCTTGCACTTGAATGGCTTTTCATCACTGTGCGTACGATTATGCTTTCTCAGATGGGAATTTTGAGCAAAGGCTGAAGGGCACTGCTTGCATTTAAATGGCTTTTCACCAGTGTGCCAATGTTTATGGTTTTGTAGATGGGGATTTCGAGCAAATGCTTGGGGGCACCGCTCGCACTTATATGGCTGTTCACCAGTGTGTGTTCGAGTATGACTTCTCAGATTGGAATTATGAGCAAAGGCTTTGTGGCACTGCTCACACTTAAATGGCTTCTCATTAGTGTGCATTTTATTATGCTTTCTCAGACAGGAATTTCGAGCAAAGGCAAGGGGGCACTGCTTGCACTTAAATGACTTTTCATCAGTGTGTAATCGGTTATGGCGTCGCAGGTGGGAATTTTGAGAAAAGGCTTGGGGACACAGTTTGCACTTAAATGGCTTTTCACCAGTGTGCATTCGAGTATGACTTTTCAGATGGAAATTTTTAGCGAAGGCCTTGGGGCACTGCTTGCATTTAAACGGCTTTTCACCAGTGTGCATGCAATTATGGGTTTGCAAATGGGATTTTGAAGAAAAGGCTTTGGGGCATTGCATGCACTTAAAGGGCTTTTCACCAGTGTGTGTTCGATTGTGATAGGTCAGAAGGGAATTATAAGCAAACTCTTTGGGACAAAACTTGCACTTAAATGGCTTTTCACTCTTGTGCTTTTGAGTGTTGCTGAGCACTTGGGACTTAGAGCCAGACATGGAAGGATGCTGGCACTTCAGTTGTTCATCTCCATGGGCAGCGAGGTGGCTCACAATTACATGCTGATCTCTAGTGACATAGGTGCAGGAACAGCATCCGAACCAGATGTCCTCGGTGACTTTCAGTGGGCAGCTGGTCTCCCCCAACAATGTGGCTAAATCACCTAGAAGAAAATACGAAAGGTATTGACATACAAGGAAAGCCCAACCAATATAGTCACTTAGTTTGGAAAAGAGTAGTCATTAATGGAGTTTTGGTGCAGCTGTACAGTTTAATATTTTGCTCTGGTTTGGAATTCAGTTCACCGAAGCACGTAAATGCAGCTGGCACCATCAAAGGACCACTGAAAAGAAAAAAATGTTTTTTTAAACAATCTGGTTGGGAATTATGTTTCAAGAGATAAATTTTACACAAAAAATATTTGTTTAGAGCAATATTGACAGTGTTAGATGCAATTTGGTCAGCAGTCACCCCCTTTCCACTTGTGTTCTCTCTTGTCATTTTGGGTGCGTGGAGGAGAGGTGGATAGGCTTGGCCATCCCGTGGAGGTGAAGAGAGTGTATGACCATATTATTGAGGTGGACAGTGCGCGACCATTCTATGATATACTGGACTTTGCGCGCATAATTCAGAGGCAACTAGCATAAATCTCGTGTGCCGTCAATATTTCCGTAAAAATTTTTTAAAGCAAAATAAAAATTAAAAAATGCAATTTTATACTTTTTTATTTTGATTTCTATATCACACTTCACACATCTCACTTTGGAAAGTATTCCTGCCTTCTCAGAATGTTTTTCTTTTTTTTTTGTTACAAAAGAATTTGTTTTGAAAAGTGAAAAATATGGATCCGAATACTTCTTGGAGGCTGGATTCCGCATTATTTAGAGTGCGACAAAAACATTATTTTTCCAGACTATTGAATATTGATTAGAGTTCCGCATTTTCGGTTCTTATTTTTTTTCTCGAAATTCAACATACTTTTTTCGGCGTTTATTTTAAAATTCAATTTCTGTGTTTTTCGGTGTATATTTATTCCAAAAAAAAATTACCGCAACATCATCGGACACCAGATCAGATGATCCTTGTAGCTGTGAAATTTGTGATCACTCAAAGAATAACGACACATATACATACGTGGTCTTTGCTACAACTTCCGTCAGGACACACCTCAAAATATTGAAATTCGCAGGCATAATTTGCAGCGTGCTTCTTTTTCTTTCTCATTCTGACGACGTGACTGTCTGAGGTGATGACCGTACAAAAACCAGCAGAATGGCAAAAAAAAAAATCTATTGCATTTATGTTTTCAATTACATGGAAGTTTGAGAGAGGGTGTTAAGAAAGGTATTGACAACTTCCTCGATGTCCTCTGAAGTGCAGGGAGTGAAAAACCTTATACTAGCCAACATCCAAACTTTTTTGGGGGGACCAGGAACTTGACACACTAAGCCCGATCACAAAATGGACACAGTTGTCCCACGAAGGCCAATCCAAGACCTCTTTTGTTGCATGTTGAACCTTGGAAGAGGGCAATCACGAAGACGTCACACAATGTCAAACCTTGCAAAGCCTTATCTCTCCCTCCCTCCCCCACCCACCTCGACGCGGCCCTAAAGAACTGACCTTTTTCGGTTAAAACTGAATTTTGGAAAACGGATTAGACATACTTTCATCGGTTTTTACTGGTTTAAACCAAAAACGCCGAACTACAAACTGACCTTTTTCAGCTAAAACCGAATTTTCGAAAATGGATTCGGCGTACTTTTATCGGTTTAAACCGAAAACTCCGAACCCTAGATATGACGTTTTCTAATTGGCCAATGACTGTCCTGACTATGGCAGGTCAGACCGAAAGTCTTACTTCAAGTTCTCAGTAAAAGAACTTCAACATGTGCTGCAGTCATGTCTTACTAACATAGATACCCCACTATATAGACACAATTTTGGGGGTTTAATTCCTCTCATGCAACTCTGCCTCGTGAGTAATAAAACCCACAGTTGAGGCTATGGACAGCTAGTTTTAGGAACAAACTGGGTAAATACATGCAAGTTTGTCTTGTTACAGACACAAGAGGGTCCACCAATAAAGAAAAAAGTTTAGTTAAGACCTTGGGTTAGAGTTCACTGAGAGTTTCACTACTGTTCAGTGTTGGTTGTGCTTCCTTCGAAAGGCATAAGACCTGGGCACTGAACAATGGTTCAATTTATCGGGGCCTTCCAACCAAACACGTAACCTGCCGTTCTCTCCTTATGCTACGCCATTCATCAGGTTTGCCATGTAGCCACTTTTCTAGCTTGTCTGGCCTCTTCGTCTATGCACATTTACGGGCAACCACTTTTTGGTCGAATATCAGTCCGGTAACCCTGGGCGCACCTAAACAAGGCGATAAAAAGTTGCTGCAGACTTTTTTTGGGGGGAGGGGGGGAAGACAGCCACACAATGGAAAATGCCTGCATCTCACATCGGTCGAAAAATGACATGTGAAAAAATTGTGTAGGACCATGTTGATAAAAGTTAGCGTTGACAGGAAACAATAACCCGAAAAAGATTTACCACTTCTTATTTCTATCTAATGCATCGAGTCCTGCAATAACTCAATGTTTACGTTTTCAACTTTCAACACATTTAATAACACATTTAGCATAAAAATGTATCACTGTGAGTGACAATTATTTGAGCTTGATAGCTCCAATGCAATGAGCAGGTGTACAAACAGCACATGATATTAACTGTTTTAACAGAGCCTCGGTTCGTAGTGTGTGTTAATAAATTTCCTCTACCCCCCCTTCCCCCTCCCCCCCCTGCCCCACGTGTCCTGCATTTTGCTAGCAGGAAGGTGGTCACCCTAGTGCTGCCCTTCCCAGAGTGTTGACAGACATACCAGGTGCCCAGAGTTTCACTGGAAATGAAAGTGTGGATTACAGCAAAGTAGATGCAACAAATAGGAGGTTAGAGGGCTCGTGAAAATTATCTGGGGAAAACTGAACGAAGAAAAACTAAGTAGCACAGCTAGGGGACAGGAGAAAAATTGGGACTCCCTCCCTCATGTCTCTGGAGCAAGGTCTCAACCCTGTGCCCTCGGTGGGTTTGGTATTGGGGCACCGCCAACAGAAAATTGGCAACTCCCTCGACAGGGGGATAAGGAGGGGGTGCATGTTTTTTTTTTACCCGATCCCTTAAAGGCCGATCAACAAGCAGAAAAGAGGAAGCTTACTCTCCACTCCCTTCAATTTTATCCTCACAGTTTATCCTGCAAGACGAAAGAATCCCTCCTTTTTAAGTCGCTGTTTAGGATTAGAAAAGATTTCTTGCGTGACCACACAAGAAATAGTTGTGGCCCAAGAAATTGGAAGATTGGGGCTGCAGTGTGCAAGCACGCCCTCTGTATCTTTGTTAGACAAAGAATTACTGTTCCTCGACCAGGGATGACTATAGTCGGTTACAAGTCAAGAAAATAGGAGAAGCTCCTCCCACAAGTGTGATGCGCCCGTTTGAAATCTCTCCGCAGTCGAAAGAAGAGTTCACTGGAAACGCTCCTTGTTCCGTTTCAATGGATTCCCACTTGTCTCCGATCCCACTTTTTAAGAAAGCGACCTGGAACCGAGCCCCTGAAAGCAGCCTTTGTATCCATCGGGGGGGAAGCTAATCCCCGAAAGTCACGTATTTGTTTCCGTCCGTGGCTTCCATAATGCTAAGTCAAAGTCGAAAGATAAAGCAAATATGTAAAGAAAGGCAAGACCCTCCTCGCGCGTTGGCCGCGACGTCACGGAAACGGTGGGACGCTATTGGATGCGGAGGTGGCGGAGGGATATCTGATTCCCTTTGAGGGGCATTTGCCGCTACCTTCTTGACCTGTAACTGACTATAGTATGAGATGGTGCGATGAGTGATGTCACAATTTTAGCCTTTTAACAATATTTATTTGTATATATTTCTTAACTTGTTTTTGTTGGCACCGGTATATATATTGAGTGACAGTAAAAATAAAGTTCAGCTGTAAGTAGCGTTGCGTCTTCCTTTCTGTCCGTTGTCATGCTGTGCTTTTTTAACTATTAGAAATATCGCTCTTTACTGTTTCAGCAACCGCATCAAATACTAAAGCAAACAGATTTTTGTGAATAACTAAATTTAAAAAATTTCACAGTTCAAAAATATGGAAAAACATTTACCACGGCAATACATCACTTCATCGCAACCAGTACATAGAAAACCACTTCGAAGCATAAAATAAGCCCACTAAATATTCCTGAAATTCATACTTGCGAAATCCATAAAATTATGTGACCGCAAGAATAATTTGGTGTACAGTACAACAAACGTTTGGGTCTCTAAGCCTTTATTCTATGTCCTTCTCGATGAAAAGAACGCAAGACGACGGTCTAAAAAGTATGCATTTCAGAGGAGGAGACTGTGGCGGGACGTCAGCTTAGTGTTTGTGGCTGAGTTTGGCACGACAATGTTCGACCCTTTTCTAAAAGAAGCAAATGCTGAAAATGAAGATGATTCACTACGGGCTGGTTGCACCAACGCTACTTAGCGCAAATCGGAGCTTAGCAGGGAACTTACGCCAAGTTTCGGTTTCGTTCTGTTGCACCTAAATCACTAATCGCTAAACCTAGCACTAACCACGCCTGTCGTAAGCACTCAACATTGGGAATTTTGCTTTTGGTTGTTCCTTAATCCTGGATATAAAACATGGCGGCTGGTTTGTGGTGGTCGACGCAGTGGACGAAACTGGTTGTACAAAGTGTTTTAGACTACAACAACGCAAGAGTTTCGACAGAATGACCTTCGATTATGACAAGGATGCAAAATATTGTCATGTAAAGTGTTTATCGACCCGTCTTCAAGTTGGCTCTCCACTCTCAGTTCGTGTTAGCCCTAGCTGGGGAAGGTACGCAGCCGTGGTGCTCACGTCTGTCTTTCCGTTCGTTTTATTTCAGCGTGCTTATTCGCATGTACTTATTTGCGCATGTCTGTAACATATTGCTATTTACAACCTTGCTTATTTTTACCTTCAATGCATATCCTTTTTTTTTTATCGGAGCGCTGAATAGCGGCAGTGCATGATCTGGCAATCAGAGGATTGTCAACACTTCTGCCGTTCTCATTAAATTGCGGTGAACAACGCATTGAGATAATAAAGCAACAAAAAGGCCATTTATTGTGTGTTTAGAGCGTTGGGACAATCATCAGTGAAGTTTCCTTTTCTCGCAAATAAAATCTTAGCTTCGGGAAAACTGTATCGTTCTACAATCGTAACTTTTCTGGTTACCACACATTGTAGAGGCGACGAGAAATCATAATGACTACGAAGCGAGATTTGTTCAGCATTCTATTGGGGAAGACTGCAACGGGAGGTGCGAAGAGCCAACCGTTTTTGTCAAAACAATGTGATGAACAAGAGAAGCCATTCAGCTAAAAAGAAAAGTGAAAAGACGCAGGGAAAGACTCCGTCGGGTGCGTAGTGAAGCTTTAAAACATGAAATAGGAACACTGAGCGCTGAAATGAAAAGTCGGATAAAAGAGTCAAAACACAAGTACTTCAATGTCACAATACAACAATTCCTTAGACAATCATCCCACAAGTTTTGGATGTATTCAACAAAGAAACAAAGAAGTGTCTCTAAGATATGCACAGAGCAGGGAGTTATTTCTGACAAGCAGGATATTGCAGAGGAGTTTAATACATTTTTTACCAGCGTATTCACAAAAGATGACGAGGAACCAGTAGAGTTCATGTTACCTAGGGACCGTCCAGATATAAATGACAACACTTTCGGAGGAAGGAATTCTAGCTTTATTACTGAATCTACAAACGTTTAAGTCGATGGGCCCAGATGGAATCTCAAATGCCTTTCTAAAGAGGTACGCAGAGTGGATAGCTAAATACCTTTTGATTATTTTCAAAAAATTACTGTCAACGGGAACCCTTCCAGACGACTGGAAGATGAGTAAAATAATTCCTATACCGAAAGGTGGCGAAACCACAATTGTTTCCAACTATAGACCCATTGCCTTAACATCAACATCCTGTAAAATTTTAGAACATATACTAGTTTCCAAACATGTCTGACAATATCTTTCTTGGCTTCTCAGAGACTACCAACATGGTTTTCGGGAAGGTTTATCGAAAGTGACCCAGCTTGTAGAAATGGTGCGCTATCTTTGTGAAGTGATTGATAATAAGGGACAAGTAGATATAATTTTTTTGGACTTCAAGAAAGCATTCGATAAGGTCAGTCATAAAAAAACTACCAATTAAATTGAAATCGGTTTTGGGAGATAATAATGTCAATAATTGAATCAAGGCATTTCTTACCAACCGTAAGCAGTTTGTAGGTATTGAAGAAAAACGTCTGCAATAAGCTACGTTGAGTAGGGAGTGCCACAAGGTTCGGTGCTTGGGCCGTTGTTGTTTTTGATGTACATTAACGATCTCATAATTGATTCCCCCATTCAACCCAGATTATTTGCAGATGATTGCATTATTTACACTGTACTTAAGTCTGTTGCAGACCAAACTAGGTTAAATGAATATTTGTCTAAAATAACTGATTGGTGTACATCATGGCAAAAGTCCCTGAACATGCTAAAAACCGTATGCATGACCATTACTAACAAGAAGCATTTGGGGTTCAGCTACACAATTCAGGGGGTTACATTAACAAATGTCATGGATTATAAGTACCTTGGAGTAAGTATAACTTCACGCCTTAAAGGAGACATGCAAAGAAAAAAAACATTTTTTTAAACGGCTTAGATGGAAAAAGGACGCCATAAAACGATTTTACAACGAAGAAAAAAAGAAGAAAGGGTAAAAGCACAGGCGAGCTGGTGAAGAACTTTCATCGTAAACTGGAGACACGGATTGAGACTTGTTGTTGTTTTGTCCTTTTTTTATTTTTCCGTGTCTCCGGTTTACGATGGAAGAAAAAAAATTTTTAGAGCTATATTTACGGTGCAAAACGAATTTGTAGTTGGCGCCCGCGGGCACCGCGGAAAAGTGGTCCGTATTTATCATGTGACTGGTCTTTATTTATCACGTGGTGCTTGCACTCTTTCGGAAGCTTCCTATGGCCTCTAAAAGTAACTTATTCATCTTTGTTTGAAGTATAACAAAAAACCAAGACGAATAAGTAACTTTTAGAGCCCAAAGGAAACTCCTGAAAAAGCGCAAGCAGACGTGATAGACCTGTGCGCCGGTCAGACGACGGCGGCGGCGCCCCGAAGCAGACAAACTTGTGCGGCGGCGGCGGCTTGGAGAAACGCGTTGAAGCGGCGTTCGCACAATGCTCAGCGTGCGGCGGCGACGCAGCGCGGCGGCGTGCGGGCCTACCATGTGACCAGCGGCGGCTCCCGCGAGCGTCGACTACAAATTCGTATAGCGCCGTAAATATAGCTCTAAAAATTTTGTTTCTTCGTTGTAAATTCGTTTTATGACATCCTTTTTCCATCTAAGCTGTCTAAAAAAAAGTGTTTTTTTCCTTTGCATGTGTCCTTTAAATGAACAAAGCAGATAGAGAACTAGATAACAGAAAGTATAAAACAGAGAGAGGACGAAACACAGATGAGTACATTCTTTCAGTTCTATGAAGAAGTTCTATGAAGCAAGCACAAGTGTCAGTCATAAAGGAGCTGATGCCCATCCATGTCGACGACTGATAATGATGTTGAGCGTGCTTGTGAACTCATTTTGTCAGATAGACGAGTGACAGTGGATGATGTGACAAATCATTTGCAATGTCGGCCTACCCCGGCAATTTCATGAATGATATTCACATAGAAACGTCTCAGATGCGGACTTGAAAAGGCTGTACAAGAGTCTAGAACCCAGGTGATAAAATAAGGAAACAAGATTTGCGTCCAACTTGCTGCCGATCATGCGAAGCTCCTGGGATTTACCGCGCAGACACAAGTCGTTGTGCATGACGACGTGCACGAATAAGAGAATCGAGAGGATGGTACCAATAGTTTCATGCTATTTCTCATGTCTTGGAAAAAGCTTTTGTGCCTCTCAGGTTATCTCGGGCAAAGTGCCGGCTTGCGGATTCCCAGATTCAGTTCTATGTCGAAAGATCCCACTCCTAAGTGCTCCCCTAGCACGTTGCGTGTTGCTCAGGAGAAACAACATGCCTCTCCCGGCAGGTTGCCTTTTAAAGGGGGAAAGACACAAAAATTTAATATTCAAATTTCCTTCCGAAATGAGTCAAGCATGACGGATAATAACCGTAAATGAGAATCGCACGTTTGTATTTTGAACGACTGGCTATATTTTTCGTTCCAAACGGTGCACTCGAGCAAGCGCTCAAAGAGAAGCGAACGAAAAGCACGATGCATCATGGGATATCCGGTGCAAACAAAAAGGGAAAAAAAAAATATTTCCGCATTCATGACGTAGCAAGGCTGGCGTGGTTATGAGCTTTGCCCTTGGTGACGTCAGCGTTATGGTGGTGTCAATAGCGTCAGCGTGCTACAACCGAGCTGTTCGAAGTACCTGCGGGGCGACGAGCGTGTGGCTGGCCCAAGGAGCACGTAGCTTCCACAACACTGTCAGCTTAGGGCTGATAGGGGTGGGAAAGCAAGTTTTGTTCGAGTTTTGAGCGCCAGGCTAATTTTCTAGGGGGAGAATGGCTGTGTCCAGTTGCACGAATGAGGGTCCGACAAAAAGGGGAGTCCTTCCTTTCCGTCTTCTTGGACCGTTTGGTAGAATGTGCAATTTGTGAGTTCAGGAGGAAAGCTAAGAAGGAAAATGTTGAAATTCCAAAGAGCAGCGCTGCTCCGAAGAAATCTGCTATGTCACGACTACGTAGCAAGTTCCCCAACGTTGCTAGATTACCTCCCAAATAGGCTCCGCATGCATCCACCAGGTGCACATTGAAAGATTGTTTATTTAGCTTTAAAATTTGTCTTCTTGTGCCTTTCAACGGAAGACTGGTGCTTTTGAGGTTAGGGTGCAACATGCAACACATTCAAGCTAGAAAATGAGCGCTGGATTTTCGTTTCCCCACCCCTTTAAAAGCGTGCGACGAATACCTAAAGAGGAAAGGATATTCGACCCCTGTCAAGGTGGCCAGAGGTGCCCGGAATAGCAGATATAGGAACTTAACACCTAAATTGCCCAACATTCACTCGCCACTGCCATGAATCTCCCTTAAAATTACTAGTTTGCTGCTTTCGTTTTCTCTAGGCCCAACCCTTGTCACCATGCACATATTTTTCTGGGATTTCGACTTCCTCTAAAGGCTCTCTACGGGAGCCAGAGTTGCGCATCCAGCCATCTTGAAATCTTCAGCTATGCGAGAAAGCCACTCCTCGTGCGTGTAGGAGCCGTGCTCCATCGACTGCAGCAGGTCAGGTAACTAAATTCGGCGAAACACGGTGCCGCGCTTGAAAAACAGGGAAGGAGGAGCAGGAGGCAAAAGCAGAACATATGCCAGCAGGTGTGCATAAAACGACGGCAAATTGACTTTCTCACATGGCATAGGATTCTCGGCTCCTCACGTGATCAGTTTTGGACCTCTCTCTCTGAATAGCGGCGCAACGGCTCATGGAAAACAAACGCACAACTCTGGCTCCCGTAGGGAGCCTACAGAGGAACTCTATTTGGACTCTACTGACGACGCCTTCTCTGTGGAGGATCTCAGAATTAGCATGGACCCTTAGGTGTCGGGGACAGCTGTACAAGAGCTGCTCTGGACTACAACCGGCCGCAGTAAAGCCACAGGTGGAAACAATGAACTTACCGTGACCTGAAGACTGATTCGGTTCCATACGAACTGTTGGATGGGGTCAGGCTCCAAAGGCACTCGCCAAATGCCGTCTCATTGAAGCAAAGCAGTGTTCCACGAAGCTCCCGTAACTGTAATCGCGTGCATGTTCAGACAGCGGGAGGTTAGTGAGTCTCAATGGGTGTATGTCGTCTGCACTTTAAATAAGGAATTCTGCCAGCGCAGTACGACCCCTATCTTTGTGTCCTTATATATAGGAACTTACTTAACACTTAAATTGCCCAACATTCACGCACCACTGATATGAACCTCCCTTAAAATTACTAGTTTGCTGCATTCGTCTTCTCCGAGCCCAACCGGTATCACCATGCGCACCTTTTTTCCTAGATATGAACTTGCAGTATAGGCTCCAAACGGGAGTGAGAGCAGTGTGTTCAGACATCTTGAAATTCTAAGTGATGTGGGAGAGCCACTACTCACACACACGCGCCGCATGCACTCGCCTTCATCAAAAATTTGAAGTAAATAACCGCGTGCAAGATGGGACGTTTGTTTTTAGGCTTTTGAGTTAAACCGGCTACTGCTGTAGACTCAAGCATATGCCGTGAGTGTAACTACACTTGTAGCATGCTCCTTGATGCTTGGATAATTTAGGAATAGGCCAATGGTGGCAATATACACAACTTGCACTTGACCAAAGTGTCAAACCGAAATGTTTATTCGTTCGGTTTGGGTTCTGGGTCACGGGTTTCAGTTTAGTTCTGGGGAGCAAAGGTAACAATTCAAACCAGTTTGAACCAATTCAAACCGCTAATTCAAAAATTATTTTTATATAGTTTTTTTGTCGTACGAAAATCCACTTGTATTTTCGGGTACCAAAAATAAGAAATTACATAATTTAGTTTTAATGCAACAGTAAAAAAAGAAATAAAATTGGGATAAACATTCAAACATCCATTTGTTTACCTGAGTCATACATCTTACCTGAATCGAAAGGTTGTCACAAAGTGTTGTAGGTTGCCGAAGATACACACTATTGGCACAACTTTGCATCACAGTATTAAAAATTCGATCATAGTTGTGCTGTTCAACTAAGCAATTACAGTGCATAAAATCACAAAAAAGCCACCTCATTCCCACATAGTGAAATATTGTTTACGAAAAAAAGTTGAACAATATGTATGACGACGACGCAACTGGGCTAAAGGCAATATTTTCAAAATGTCACGAAACTTTTAGGACTAACCCTTTCAGTTTACCTTTTACAGAAACCCTGAGCAGCAATCATAACGCTCGTTTTCCCAACCAACATTGTTTACACTAGCAATGTGATACATGCAAAGAATCATGCAGAAAAGAGTGATCGAAATTGTTCAGACACATCTATACACACCTTTCTACTTAGATTGAATGCAACATAAAACAGCGTGCCCAAGCAATAATTTTCTTATACAAGATGAAGGGCAAACCACAGCTCTAGAAATTTGTTCTTGACAAGACGCCGGTCAATTCAATTTGCAAATATGCATCATCCTGGCCAACTGCTGAGTTTCTGTTAAATAGAACATAGTGTTTCATGATCTAGTTAACGTGACAGCTACTTAATTAGTCACGTTCTGACGGTATGCCTGCATAATTGTCATAGTTCCTCCAAGCACCCCTGTGTACTTTGTTTTTCTCCAGCCCACAGACAAATAAGATTGCTGTTCATCACATAAAAGAGGCAATAATATACTTCTATATGTTTGAGCCATTATACATGTATTAGAAACACAGTTATTTTTATCAGCTTCAAAATCAAAGATAAAAACGCCGACGAAGATTTGCAGAACATTTTTCACATAATTTATAGATGCATATAATTAAGATGACTGGACTTTACTTTTGTTGTCAAATCTTCAGTCAGAGAATAAATATATTTTTATTATCATCAATACGTTTGATTGTATGAAGTTCACATAACTGCTTGCGACAGACACAGAAGGACGATATACGGTACTCAAAAATATGCTAGCTGTTGAGTCTCCTGAAACGTGTTTTTTTTTTTGTTCACTGTTTGGCACTGTGAAACATTGGTCGTGGGGCATGCCAAAAACAACTTTGTCCTCACATGATAAATATGCAGGGAAAGACATGAAATGTGCAGAAATAAAAAGATAAATCTTCAAAAGAATGCGATGCAGGATGCCTTACTGCAAAAAGAAATACATAGATATGTAATATAATATTTCAAATCACATAAAAATAGCATAAAGGACAAACGCAGGTTCTTATAATCCTAACACAAATCCCACTTGGGCATCAGCTTGCACGAACTCAAAATTTTGCACAATACTGCCTCGGGAGATTGATGTTATATTGGGTTTTATGTGCACTTCTTTTGGGCCCTCACTTTACGGCTTTGTGGTTTATCAGTCATGCACTCTAACATTTTATTAGTGTGCTGTATGTCATTGCAAGACTGATACTGCACAAATTTACAATTTTGACATCTAATTTTGCTAGTGTTGTGAACATCGTATTTCACCAGGAAACAGCACTGGTTGGCACATGACATGGTTTGCATGTGATGTCATCACTCTCTATGCTGAAAGTCCTCACGTAGCATCCAATGTCGTGCGAACACTCCCTGGGTGTTCTGAATGTTGAAGGAACGTTAAAACACCATTCGGAACGTTCTAGGAACGTTCGTATGTGAACATTCCTTACAAGGTAAGCTGATCATGTCGTATTACACCCGAGACTGCGGTGGAAGAAATCGGGAAAACTTTCAATAAAAAGCTTTTTTTTTTTTTTGAAAGATCACAAACCGGATATGCCTTTTCGCACAGTAATCAACGAACTCGGAACGTGGCAGTGTAGCCTCTCGAAATTTTTGCAAAGAGGGTTTAATGTAATTCAACTGGAGGGGAGTCTTTCACTGAGAAATTCAGAGGCACTAATTGATGTTCTAGAGGGCTTTCATGGAAGACAATGCACTGTAATGTCAATGGACATTAAGGATCTATACTATTCGCTTGAGAAAGTGCGCTTGATGCAAAGAGTTCGGCAAGTGCTAGAGTTAAACCTGGTAAACTTTCAGTCCAGGACGGGCATCGCCGTCGACAGTTTCCTTTCACTTCTTGATTTGTACCTTCAAGCAACAGTTGTTGAATATAATGGGCAGAAATATGTTCAAAGAAATGGTGTATGCATTGGATCTTCGGTGGCTCCGATGTTAGCAGAAATCTATCTTAACACCTTAGATAGATGCGTAAGTGAAACACTTAGAGAAAATAACTTGAATGCTTGCATTGTTAAAAGGTACGTGGATGATATTTTTATTTGCGCTTTTCGAGAGAATGATGCTCAGGGTCTGGAATCGATTATAAAAGCAGCAGCTCCGGAGCTTAGGTTTACAACTGAAACACCTGAAAATGGGATCCTGCAGTCTCTAGATTTACACGTACATGTCGAACAAGGTCTTTGTTGGGAATACGGGAAAAAAGCCGGAAAACCTGTGTTAAGTAGAAAGAGTTGTCACGCCTAGTCGGTTAAAGCAGGGGTAGTTAAGAGGGGGCGCACCTCAGAGCCCCATAGAGAATACATGAGGTTTTTCACCAAATTAAAAAAATTCTCACATAATAACGGCTGCGCGGATCTTCTTGAAAATTTCCGCTTTAAAGACATTGAGTCATTATCGAGACACTAAGCGCCACAAATGTTTCATCATAAATTTAATTATATTCTTTAAAAAATCATGAAAATGGTCAAAATCGGCTAATTCGGCACTCTTGCGTTCGGAGCGAATTTACAAAATTATCTAAATTCAAACATAAGAAGTATTGTGCTTAATGTCTTCCAAGTTTATTACGGAATCGAATAATATTCAAATTATTCATGTAAGTCGATTTGTTCCATAACTACAGCAAATATAAAGAACCAAGGTGTCCGTGCTTGTTTTCGTCGTTTTTAAGGTACCTCTCTCTCCCGTGCGGTGGCGCTCGCTGTCCACGAAATGCGAAATCGTCCGTTCGGAGATCGGCCGGATCGGCACTGTGCGAGGTGTTCTTCCGCGGCCGTATTCCGCGCCCGTATCCTGTTTCATTCTGCACGCCGAGACGTCAGTGTGCGTGTCTTGCTTTCCTGGTTCTCGCTGGGTAGGTCTCCGTGTTTTCGCAAGTGGCAAATTCACCTTGGAGCTATGGGTCGAAGACAACCGTCCTGTGGCAAGTGGACCGCGAGGTGTTCCACAACCTCGCGGTCCGCCAACGCGTTGTGCTTGTTTCTACTTTTTTTTTTCTTTTAAAAACGGGCTTTTTTTTTTTTGACGCAAAGTTTTATTTTATTGTTATCCTTCACACAAACGTCCTTCGGCCTTGGGGTCGTGGAAATCGGGGATGAAGCGTGCACAAAGTAGATCGTTGTTTGCCTCCTTTTTATTTTTCACGGACGTCCTGTGACCTCCGTACGGTTCGTGGTCACCGCAATCTAACGCGGGGAAAAACGGGTCGCCTGCTCTGTAGTCAGGGTATTCCTAGGGGAGGGTGATAACTCGCTGTTCTTCTGAAAATTCACATATCACCCAAAAAGGTGACATGGGTAATGATTACGGTATGTTTTTTCCGGTGTTTATTTTTGAGCGAAAATCGGTGCATGTTTTTCGGTGCTTATTTTTTAATCACCAGTGTATTATGGGTTGAATGTCTTGTGATGACGCTAAAAAGCGTTGATAACCAAAGAAAAATGTGATTGGACAAGAACATTTCAAATTTCAAATTCTATTCACACATCCATTACGCTCTTCTCGTGGGAGCATCTATCCTGACGAAAAATGCCTAAGTCATTGAGCTGTGAACGCATACACAGTGTACAATCTTTCAACCTAGAGAGGTATTGCGCACGCTCGAACGCGCTTCACAGCCCAGTAGACGAAGTTGGTGGCACCCAGAAGGCGAGTTTTTGAATGGTCTGTAGTAGGCAAAAGAAACAAATAACAATCAACGAATATCAGCTCTTCAAGCGAAGAGGCGCGTTTCTAAGGTCAATGGTTCCGGATGGCACTAATGTTGTTGGCGTTGTCGTAAGGTGACGTCAGTTCATACGAACTGACGTCATCTTACGTGATCACGTGACACAAACACGTCATCTT